GGTTTGTCCACATTTAGATTCACGGTGGCTCTTGGGAGGTAAACGAAAAACATTTCCCACTGGCTTTCCCGCACTATGGATATCGTATCGAGTTTCCGGATTGTATCATCCATATATAAATTCAACGTTTTGAGCTTGCAAATCCTCACTTGCAGCTGCAAGTCAAATTGGCATAAGAAATAATTAATTTTCAGCCAAACTGATTTCAAGCAAAACTTACTATGCAAACCTTGTTGAAAAATAGTAGAAATATCCAGCAGTCAATAGTGAGAGTCTCCAAGTTGTAGAACATTTCCACGGAGTTTGCGAAATTCCAGCTATCAAAGTATTTGCGCGAGTTGTAGGTGGAGTAGTGAAGAGCGATGTGTTTGATGGTTGATTTGGATCTTAGGCAAGCCATCAAGAGATTGCTGAAGTTCATTTCGTTCATGTTGGCGTTTATTAAAGTGAGGCTTTCCAATCGATTTTGCTGTCTGAAACGTAGCTGATTAAGCAAAAAGTTTGAAATTTACCGTGTACTTACTTAAGGAACCGCATTAGCAGATAGCAGAGCTTTTTAAGTTGGTAAATATCGTACCACTCGTGGATCACCAGATGTTTGACTTGAACAAAGCGCTCAAATAGCAGAATCAGAAATCTTCCAACTCTCTTCACGGTTTCCTTGTGTCGCAAGCAAAACACTTTTTCACTCAGGACATACGGAACGCTCCATCCTATTTCCAGCTCTTCGATGTAGTGATGATAGTTTTGAGTGAGAAATATTACACTTGGCTCTGGAAATTGAAGATATTGATTCTCGGTTTTCAAAACTTCTAAACAAACCAAACCATTGAAATCCTCATCCACCTTAACATTAAGTTTTTTCCAAAGCGAGGGTGTTTCTACCGCATCTCTCCATCGTCTGCATGTTGAGGAGAAACTCATCTTATCACGAGAGGGGAGGAGTTTAAAAATATTCCCCAGAATTTCGTTTGGCAGGGTTGTCCAATCGGGATACTGTTGTGCCATTGTGGACACACCACTTCTGAAGGATTTTGCTCATTCTCCGGTTTGTTGGTTTAACGTGGAGTCCCTTTTGCTCAATGCCGGGCGTTAATTGCGCTTTTTCAATGATTGTACTTTAAATTTTTTTGTGCATCGAATAAATGACGGATTTGGCATAATAATCAGCTGGTTTTTTCATTGTTCATCAATCTGATTCATCCAGCGCCAGCTAGTAGTTTTTGTCAGCATCATACAGGGTTATTGAAATGTTCCGCATAGCTGTAGGATTTTTTCGAAACACTTAGCTTGAACTGGATGAGGTTTTTTGAGAGCGAACAGATATTTCACAGCTGTTTTACATTCCAATTTCAATGGAGTTTGGAATTATTCTCTGTATCATGAACACCTTTTTTTGTTTCCAGGTGACACAATGCAGCTTTCGATAAGTTGGGCTTTAAATTTTCCCTGGAAGATAGGATTGTTGACATGTATTTTATTATATATATCAGTGCATGTAATATTTATGCAATGATCAACGACGCGAAAATATCTTGATTCTGTATTGCGTTATTTCAGTTTCTTGTTTTAATACGAACGTAACAGCAAACATGTAAAACAAGTGTCGTTCTTGTGTGAATTACACCTTCTATTGCCTTGGAACGTAATTTGTTGCATTTATTGGTGTTTTCTTCTGTGAATTTATCTGTTTATTGGTGTGTATCATTCTCTCGATATTTCAAAAAAGATGAATTTTTTGAAGAACTTTGACCATCAATAGCACAGGACCCAGACATTTTTTGCTAATAAAAGTAAGGTCAGATCGTCTTCTTTTGACCCAAAGAATATCGCAGTATACTTTTGATCATGTGCTTACGGGACACCCTGTAGAACACCGTCTCTTTGGAATTTCGTTCCTCTTCGATCAGCAGCTTATCCGTAATAAGTATCTAAACTTTGACTTCCTTGAATGCACATTTTCCGCTGAAAAAAATATTTTTTTTAATGGCACAAATTCACTGTTTTGGTCCAGCTTGAAAATTTTGCTATGATTAAACAATAAGAAAGCAAACTAAACACAAAATCACATGTTCACGTGAAAGTGTTTTTCGGGCTTTGAAGCCGTGGTCCATGGGAAGCACGAAAAACATTTCTATATGTGATTTGACCGTTCGTGAAAGCCTTCATAGTCCGATACACATAAAATATTTGGTGTTTTGTAAAAATATGGATCGTTTTCTAAAGCTTAAATTCTCGATATTTGGATAAAATTTTATGTGGCGGCCACTAATTATTAGAAGCAGTTTAGAAACAATAAAAATAATAAAATTATAGCAACTGTCCACTGTCAATTCCACAGCAGATCTTCTCATAAGGTTGAAAAAAGGTTAGTAATTCTGCTATATTCGGAACTATACATCAACAGGTTTGCCCTCTTGGCTTTTTTTTGTTGCTTTTATTTAGTAACTCTTTTCCGTCAAATTGAGAGTACCATTAGAAATTTATCCATTATTTTAAAACCTTGATTAACTCTTCCTCTGGGATCTTTGTGGGTTGTTCGAACATATTTATTTTCATATATATTAAAAAAAACGTTTTTAAATAAATTTTGAGTCACATATGTACATTTGCAAAAGTTCTTATGATCGATACCCTGGAAACTTTCAATACTTTCATGTAAATATATGACTGATGACTATTTATTTAGCTTGGTTTGTCTATTACAAGAAGATAACTTCTCGCATGTTTACGATTATTTGCCCAATATTTCGGATAATAATTTCCAAACTTCGTCTTATTATGGGGAATTAATTGCATCGCCTACGTGTTCATTGAACAGTATTTTGCTAGTCATTATGGAAAAACCAGTTTCTGAAAAGGAAGAGATGTAATCAACTTGCAGACGTTTTCATCCAATCGGGGATTTTTAGCTCAATACCGGGGTAACGACAATCCATGCCTGGCAGTTTTAAATACGCAATAAATTGTCTCCTTATAAATTTGCCAATTTTGCAACAAACATGGGCTTTATTATGGAATGTAACTAGACTATGCACTGCACATCTTCTCTTGATTCTTCAAAAAACATTGAATTCATTACTCCAGCACCTAACTGACCAGCCTCGGTAATAAACAGTCAACTCGAGCGATAACTATAAACAACGCTTCTGACCTCAATCACTTTAACAATTGAACCCCGACTTAAGAACAAGCACATTGGCAATAATGCTAGTAAAAATTTTATCTGTGATTTTAGCAATTACGTTCATTAACAATGTGGCCAGTGAAATTGGATACGCAGTACCGGAGCCAAAAATCGACATTTTCGATACTAAAGGCTTTAGAGTATCCATTCCGGATGGATTCGGACTGGAACTGTTCGCTTTCCATGGGAAAATTAACGAACCCATGAATGGACTGGAGGCTGGACAGTTTTCGAAGGACATCCTGATGAAATGTGGCGATTTGTGGGTTTTTGAAGATAACACCGAAAAATTGGTGGTTGGAAATACACTTTACTATTGGTTGTTCGTTATCAGGAACAGGTTGGGGCATCGGTATGATAATGGGAAATTTGTTGTTCGAGGTAAGTGCACAGTTTACTTAAGCGTGTGGTGCGGAGTTTTCTTCTGCAGTTTGCATATTGTTGCATGGGAAATTGAATTGCGGATTTTACGCTCTGGTATTAAAAGTTTCCAATTATATCAGAAGCATTTGGTTAATTAAACTTACTACTTCATCTACTTGTTATTTCATGCAATTTTAAGATTATAAATCGAACTTCAATTATTTTTCAGACATAACTAGTTACAGTCCCTTGTCTTGCCAATCTACAGCTACCGAGCCACCTAAAGACTCTTGGATTTTCAACGACACTTACTTGAACAATTTGGAGCACAATCCTTTATTCGATGTTCGGTCACTTGAAGGACTTACTGGCTCTGTGGGTTTGAAAAAATCCGAAAAACGAGACGTTGAAATCTCTGTATGTTGTGACCTATTTTTAAACCTGTCCCATCGTCTGGTGGGTGTGGGTATTGAGAATCAGAAACTCATGGAAGAGAACCGGATTTTAACCGAGCTGGTTGAACGAGATGAGTATTCTGCCAAAAATCTGAGACTGTTTGGGAATTACCCGGAAACCTATTATCCGACTCCAAAAGACTTTGCTCAGAATCTGCTCAGAGAAAAGCTGCAACTTTACAATGTGCGAGTGGTGACAGCGAAAACCATCCCTGGAGATGGCATCAGTTTTACCGTGGAAACTCTAAGAGATAAAATTAATGTAATTTTGGCAGCGAAGTCGGGACTGATGGGTTCGAACTTCGAACTATTATGGTAGATGTTGCATGATTTGCAGGCTTTTCAATTGAAATAAACATATTGAAAATGCTTTCGTTGTTATTGTCCGGTATGCATTTATGTGCAAGATTACGCCATCGTTTGAAATTTGAAAATATCTTTTTGGGCCGCTCTTGGACAAATTGAGCTGGCGCCAATTTTACGCCACTGGATAGAGAATTAAATTCATCGTGGAAACATAGTGGGGAAAATCTTGGCAGTTTCCACGTAAAAAGCGAAAGTTCAACATATGGTCACCGTCATATGAAAAGGCCAGAAAGGGAAATGCTTCAGGAGACAAAAAAACACAGTTTAAACCTATACATATTTTTATGTATGACTTATTTTGCTTAAATATTTAAGCATTTACTAAAATGTTACAAAGGAAACCAAATAAAATGTGGGATTTTAGAAAAATCAGCAGACTTGAGCCAATTTCCCTCGTCATATCATCACTCATGCTGGACTTTATTTAAATTAAAAAATTAATATTAATTCTTTTGCATTCCAACAAGTATGGAAACGAAAAAACCATGAAAATTTTGTTGCCAATACATACACATTAGCGAGAAACACTGGAGTTATATGGACAATCCTGAAATGTGAGTGGCTCTGGTTCGAAAGCCTCTCACCACATAAATAACGGTTTAATTCTTGTTTCTAATTAAAAAAAACCCTTTACTTAAAAGACGCTTTATTTTGTTCTAAGACACCATTTGCATTTTCAGAATTACTGAATTGAGGATGTATTTTTGTGCCTTCCTTCACACAAGTCTTCTGCCTTCAAGAGCCCATTGGAAATATTGGAATGGAAAACTGGCGCCTCATTATCACTTGTATTAAAACAGCTCTTGATATGAAGCTTCAGACCTTGATTCGTGGTGAAACCTTTGCTGCATAATTTACACACATAAGGTTTTTCGCCGGTGTGTCCCCTCAAATGGACCTTGTACGGTGTCCATTGTCTGAAGTTCTTCGCACAATATCCGCAAGTGTATGGACGTTCGCCTGTATGAATTCGCTCATGATAGGTGAGAACGTACTTGTGCTTAAAGGCTTTTCCACATTCCTTGCACTCAAACGGTCTATGTTCTGTATGGGAGATTTTGTGCTTTTTTAAGTTATCACTGTCCTTAAATCCCTGTCCGCATATATCGCACAGGCATTTCTTCTCCACCGTTTTCGTTTGCTTCTTAATATGAGCCTTATCTATGTGATATTTTAGCAGGTTTAAAGTCTTAAATTCCATTCTGCATGTGTTGCACCAGAGAAGAGATGGATCATTCAAAATATCGGCTTTGTGCATGCAAATCTGGTGCCGCAGCAGTGCCTTTGCCCCGAAATACATATTTTTGCATACTATGCAGGTGGTTTTCTTGGTTTCGTCGTGTCGGAGCATGTGCTTGCGAAAATTCGCTCGATTGTTGAATGTTTTTTCGCATTTCTGGCATACATTTGTGTCCATGTGGCTGGATGTTAAATGGCTCAACAGCTTCTTGGTCGTATCGGCTTTAAAAGAACACATTGGACAGGGGATTTTATTCGCTTCCGGGTGATTTTCCATATGACAAAACAGTGCTCGAAGCGACTTGAATTTTCCCGTACATCTTAAGCAAGCGAAATTCTGCTGTTTGTGAACCGTTATGTGCTTTTCCGCTTCAGAACTGAACTGAAACTCGGCTGAACACGTTTGGCAAATATACAAATCCGATTCCTCGTCATGTTGGTACGTGTGCTCTTCGTCAGGCTCTAGAGAACCATGCTGCTTTTGATGCATCTTCAGCTCCTTTACTGTTAAGAATGTTTTAGAGCATTTACTGCATTCGCGTGGCACTCGATATGGCCTTCGTTTGGGGGCTTCAAAATTTTTCATGCCGCATTGCTGTCGATGTTTCGCCAAGAATGTCCTGGATGAATAGTTTTTGTCGCAAGTGGAACATGAATATCGCGCTGGTTTTGCTTGATTCGATACTTTTTGGCTCTTGAGTTCTGCAGCGTTTCGGGATTTTCTATAGCGGCTCTTTATTCGTAACCTAAAAAAATTATTCGTGTTAGAGCCAAAGTGGACTTTGATAGCTTGATTAAAGATTTTTAAGTTTGCTAAAACATTTGTTATGTAATATAGGTAGTATATTTTGAATTTTATATTTGTTCGTAGGGCATTAAACAGTTTTGGACCAATATAAGTTATGAATTTTCGGTACAGGTTTCTCAACACTTTAGAAAGACTCAGGTCAATGCTTCTTAAGCTTCTAATTGGTTGGTGGTTCACATACAGAAAATTATTTACGTTATACATTTGTATAATTGTAGATTCCATATAAATTGTTTGTGTCAAATATATGCGCTAGCTATATGCTATCTGTTACAAATTTTTTTATATGTATATATACAGTGAATGTGTTGAGAAAACACTTTGCAAACAATCATCATAGCTTTTAAGATTTTCAACCGTTTGCATTTTCCGAGATGCAGCTTTTATCGAAAATAGTGCGTTTTTTAACAAATTTCCAAAACGATATAAACAGAGTTCTGCAGAACATTTATACTGACAATAAGCGTTTTCAAGCAAGTTTTCTGAACAAAATTGCGACCTTAATTGCACAAATAAAACACTGATCATTTGTCTTGAAAAATCGTCTTTTGGGCATTCAAACTCTTTCAAGATTTTCAACCGATTGCAGTTTTGCGAACGAATTTTCAATGACCCGAATCGGGCCCATAGAAAAGGGTTTCTATGACCCCCATAACCCTCCTTCTGGATGCGCTCTTGTGACTGATCTACCCGATATTGGTCGTAGAAAGTTTGAAACTTTGACCGAGAAAACATGACTATTTAGACACCCTGTACAATTTTTCTTTGGTTATCTTGGAATTTTAAATTGCAAATATCACAGTGAAAAGGAAAGAGATCCGAATGAATGAATGAATGTGTACGTAATTCGGCTGAGGATAAAAAGCTTTGATGACATGTCTTGCATTCATGCTGCTTTTGCTTCGTATGCTTATTCCGATAACTAATTAAGTAAGATTTCTTTTTGAGCTTTCCCTGGCAAATTCGCCTTCGAACGGGCGCTTGCTTGAGTGACTGACCCTAATAGATTTCAGGTTGCTTATAGATAAAAAAAACGTTTAAGCCAAATATCACAATCGTACTGCTTTGCCTTTGTATTCTTGTTAAGATAGTCAGTTAACTGATGTTTTAGTTTAAATTGCAAAAATCGCATTCGAAAGAGCGTTTCTCTGAACGAGTCGTATTAATATGATGGCTCAATTTGGCATTGGAATAGCTTTTTCCAATGCTTGCTTAAACGACCGGTTGTGTGATCAAATGCGATTTTAAAGTTTTTAACTTCAAATCAAAATTAATTCCTGGGTTTCAGTCATTTATTGTCTTTATTTATCAATTAAAATACGTTTCGGTGTATTTTTTCACCATCATCAGTTTTTACGTTGTTGTTACACGTAAATTTTCTGTAAATATGTAATTCTAAAAATGTATGCCAAGGCTTAAAGCAGCAACAACGCTACATTCGGAGTTGCTTCTTCAGCTAAATTAATTGAAGTACCAAAAAGCTGAAATCCTCTTTCGAGCTTTAGGTGCAGATCTACGGATAATCCCGTATTCTTATCAGCTAATATTACAATCGCTCCAGGTTGCTTTGAAACTATTAATTTTGATTCTATTTCTTATATTTCACTATATTATTACATTACTGCTAAATTACACTTCATTTTCTAATAATATATCAACTGCTAAAAAGATGTTTTGGAGTAACAAATTTCTATAATTGTGTCAGTTATTCGAAACAGTTAAAAAATGTTTAAACAAGTATTTCCTTAGAATTAACTTAACCAAAACCCTTAGATCCTTAGAATTAACCCAAACCTATTTTCCTCATGTTAATGAAAGTTAAGGTGCCATAAAAGGTAAAGGATTTTCTAATGGGATGATACATTGAATCAAATTTAAAAGAGCATTTGAACTCTCACTCAGATCATCATAACCCGTTACTTCTCCAGATCACAACTTTGCGTTTCTTTAAAAAAGCTCAAGTTTACATTCTTTCAACATTGTGTGGACTCAACAAGTGAAGAAACTTGACCATCAAAAGCGTCGCTTGTTTGCAGTTTCAGCTTTAAAGCGCCTTATTAATTAAATGAATCCAAAGTTGCTTTTCAACAAAATCGTGTATTCTGATGAAGCACATTTTTACGATTAATCAAAATTGTCGTTTTTGGTGTGAAAAGAATTCGCAACAGGTCTGTGAGAACAAACCTCGAACCACTGGTGAGTTGAAATTAAATCGCTGCATTGTTGAAAATAGAGCCGATTTATCGAATCTGCTTCTGTAGTCCAAGCCGAGAAGGACGAGAAGGTTGAATTATGTGTTATTCAGAACAAAAAGGACTACATTTTTGGATATCAGCCTTATTGGAAAACCCTTTATTATTTGGGATGTTAATTTATTATGTTAATGTTATGTATTGTTTGTTAATTTGTTATTTTATAAAGTCGTTTCTTATGTTCTCTAAATTGCAGGTTCGGAATGCACGGCACGACAATGTTGGAGTAATGTATCTTTCAGTTTGAATTGTATATTGCAAATATCGCATTGCAGAGGACCTTCCTCGGAATGAGTTTTCAAATGATCTTTATAGAAACGTTCAATAACAAACGTTTTATCGCATATGCTGCAGGTGTATTCCGTTAGAATCATATGATTATTTCGATGCTTAACCAGTTGGTATCTTTTCTTAAATTTAGAACTGCAAATATCACATGCATAAGGGCGTTGGTCCGAATGTGTTTTCATATGAAAAAATAATTCCGAATGTAAGACAAAGGTTTTATTGCAAATGTCACAGTTGAATTGTCTTTTTTTCGTGTGCGTGTTATGATGAATTGTTAATTGCCTGATTCGTTTAAATTTTAAACCGCAAATATCGCATTCGAAAGGGTGATTTTCTGAATGTCTGGCCAAATGAACATCTAAGTTTGATTTATCAGCAAAAAATGCCCAACAAAAATTGCACTTATATTTTTTTAGTTTAGTCCTCGCAGCTTGTGGATCTGTGGTTTGAGTGCTACTTAGATTACTGGTTAGTTCGTCTTCAGTTTTTATCAGCACCGGCAATTCTTCCTCTTCAGCTGTAATTTTCCCACCCTGCGCGTGACACTCATTTAAATGCATATTTAACTTTGACTTATTTATAAAACATCTCGAGCAAATATTACAAGAGTGTTGATTATTTATTTGAGCAGCATTCGCAGCTTGTTCATGTGCGGTTTCACTGCTACTCAGATTACTACTGGCTTCGTCTTCAGTTTTTACCCGCACAAACAAGTCCTGCTCTTCAATTTTAATTTTCCCAACTTCTGCATGACACTCATTTAAATGAATGTTAAAGTTTGACTTATTTATAAAACAAATCGAGCAAATACTACAGTAATGTTGATTTACTTGAGCAGCATTCGCAGCTTGTTCATATGTAGACTCACTACTGGCTTCGTCTTCAATTTTTACCAGGCCGGACAAGTCCTGTTCTTCAATTTTAATTTCTTCCTTTACTTGCATATAAAAGTTCGGCTGCATTCCAACGCAATATCTACAAATAAAAATTCAAAATCAGCGAAACGATTGAAGACTTAATTCTGATCTTGATGATGGGGCAAATATTTCTTCAGGTCTGTTTCAATATTTACATAATAATAATAATGAAACACCAGCTTATATTTCTTAAAAGTTTTATTAATTTTGATACCATTTTATGTTTAATCCTCAGTAAATATGTGTCGGCTACAAATAACATACTTTAATTTATTGTAAATGTATAACTAAATAGAAAAAATATAATTCAAACGAAATGTAAAAACTAAAACGGTATCCTTTTTCCCCAAGGTCTTGATCCATATGATTTTATGATATTTGGAAATTTGATAATACCATAATTTAGAAATAATACAAAAAGAACATTTTTGCGATGCAAATAGCAGATAATGCAGGAAGTAAAAGCACTAATTGCGTTCCTTAAAATCATCTAGTAACAAGTAACGCAGATTATAACAGTCATACATAGGTACTACGCCGATACTTTCACAGTCTTTTTATCAATGTTTTATGATTTATTCGAATTTTTTTGCTCAATTTGATTTTGCTTGATTCGTTGCACGGTATGTGCGTTATTAGCATGTGGGCGAAATCTACGTCTCTTTTTTAAACTTTTATTGCAAATATTACTACAAATATAGACTACCTAAAATGCCACAGTCTATTTGCAGATTGTCTAAATTATTCTGCAAAGCGAGAAGAAGCAAATAATTTGCAAATTTTCGGATTTTGTAGAGCGCCGGTAACATCGGCATGTGTTTGTTTACTTTATTACTTGTTTTAAAAATAGCGAAATACTAACCCCTTTATCAGTCTTATTCTTATTTGACGATTTTTATATCATTTCAGATTTTTTTCGGTAATGAGGACAAATCGGTAATCCGAACACACCGGGTGCATTCAATTGACCGGATTAAAGATGTTCCATATTTTCAATTCTATACAGGGTGGCCATTTTCTGAATCTTTGTACTTCGGTAACTTCTACATTTATAAAGATAAAGAATCCGTTAGATGGCAAAATTGGGCAGAATTCGATTGCCTATTCATTACTGTTTTTAAAATTTGGCTATCCGACTTGGTTCCTGAAATATCCTGAAAATGCAAGAAATCAACACTTTTTTAATTATCATATAATTCGTAAACTGTTTAAGTTATAAAAAAAGTTAAAATTGTTTGTGGTAGAAATTTTTGCGTTGAATCCAAAGTTGTACTAAGGGCAGTTTTAATTTTTTTTCTGAGCTAAACAGTTTATGTATTAAGTGATAATTAAAAAAGTGTTGATTTATTTCCTTTTCAGGATATTTCAGGAACCAAGTCGGGCACCTAAATTTTGAAAACGCTAATGAATAGGCAATCGAATTCTGCCCAATTTTGCCCATTTAACGGATTCTCTATCTTTAAAAATGTAAAAGTTACTCATACAAAGATTCAGAAAATGGCCACCCTATATTTTTATAGTTCAATTTGTTTCTTCTTTGATTGGCTGAACGAAATGTTTGGTACTATTAACATGTCGGTTTAAAGTTTTTTTCATTTTAAATGTTTTGTTGCAAATATGGCATTGAAAAGGCCGTTTGTCCGAATGCGATACCAAATGCATACGCAATCTATCGGCAGAATAGAAAATTTTAATACACATCTTACACTTGAACTCTCTTTCTTTCGTATGCTTGTTACGATGAATGTTTAAGTAGTCTTTTGACTTAAATGTTGAATTGCAAAACTCGCATTGAAATGGCCGTTGATCCGAGTGAGACTTCAAATGATAGTTGAAATTATTTAGATATAAATACGTTTTATTACAAATTGTACAGCTGTATTGCTTTTCTTTTGTATGTTTGTTTCGGTGAACATATAATTCACCTGATCTTTTGAATAACGCATTGCATATATCGCACTGAAAAGGGCGGTTATCTGAATGACTTTTCATATGATCATTTAATTTAGAGTTTCTACCAAATGCTTTATTGCAAATCTTGCACATGTGTTGGTTTCCTTTAGTATGAATATTTCGATGCTCAGTTAGGTCAGACTTTAGCTTAGATTTAAAATCGCAAAAATCGCATTCATAAAGAAGCGTGTCTGAATGCGTTTTCAAATGGTCATCTAAATTTGAAATTAACAAAGTTGTAGCACAAATCTGACAAGTGTACTGTTCATTTTTCGTGTGTCTCTTTTGATGAATCTGTAGGAACCTTTTTTGCTTATACTTTAAACCGCAAATATTGCATTGGAAAGGCCCACGGTCTGCATGGCACTTTTTTAAATGAATATTTAACTTTGATTCATTCATAAAGGATATCGAGCAAATATTACAGTTATGTTGATTTATTTCAGCAGCCTTCGCAGCTTGTTTAGATGTGTTTTCACTGCTACGTGGATCACTACTAGCTTCGTCTTCAATTTTTATCAGCACGGATAAGTCTTGTTCTTCAATTGTAATTTCTTCCTTTACTGGCATATAAAAGCCCGGTGTCATATGAAATGAATATCTATAAAGCAAATTACATAATTAGCAGAAAATATTTAAAACTTCATTCTGAACTTTAGCTAATCTACAATTATTTAAGGAGCAAACATTTATTGTTCTAATGTTTCAATCTTTACATACTTGAATAATAATAAAACACAATTAAAAATATCGAAAACTATTTTATGTCTTTTCCTCAGTAAATCATATACTGTAATTTGCTATAGATAATTCTAATATAATTAAAAATAAACGTCTCAAGATCGAGAAATAATTAGAAACGACAGTACAACCAGCACAGAATGTAGGCGTTGAAAAAGCACGGAACGCTTTAAAAACCAAAATACCAAAGATGCGAGAAGAAGACATGAGAAAACGCAAATGCAAAATAAACTGAATAAAACAATTAGGAAAAAGTGCAGAGAAACTATAAGAAAATTGGATGTCAACAAAATGCCGGGAAATTGAACCATTTCAGGCAAGATATGCCACTTTTAATGTTCGCAAGAGAGTAAAAGAAATGACAGGCGGACACAAAAAGCGGCAAGAAAGAACTTTAAGAAACGATAATAAGAAAATAATGCCAGGGACAGAAAACAAACTGGCGAGATGGAAATAATTCATCGAAACACTTTAAAACGCAAATAAGACTCAGATAATGCTTTGTCCCTGTCTTCTCTACCGGTACGAAAGCGGAAAATAGACTCACAAACAGAGAACATAATATAAGCTTATTTTCACTTCTTATTTTTTTTTTGATAAATTCGACTTTTTTTAGGCTGCTTGTTCGAAATGCCTGGCACGAGCATGTCGCCGTAATGAATCTTTAATTTTAAATGTTTTGTCGCAAAAATCGCATTGAAAAGGCCGTTTGTCCGAATGCGTAACCAAATGTCTACTCAATTTTCCCACAAAATAGAAAATTTTATTACATATCTCACACTTGTACTCTTTTTCTTTCGTATGCTTGTTTAGATGAATGTTTAAGTACTTCTTTGTTTTAAATGTTGAATTGCAAAACTTGCATTGAAATGGCCGTTGATCTGAGTGAGAGTTCAAATGATATCTGAAATTCCTTAGAAATAAAAACGTTTTATTACATATTTCACAGCTGTACTGTTTTTCTTTTGTATGTGTGTTTCGATGAGCGTTTAAGTTGCCTTTTGATTTAAATGTTGAATTGCAAAACTCGCATTGATGTTTCCGTTGATCTGAGTGAGAATCCAAATGCTCTTTTAAACTGTGTGGATGTAGAAACGTTAGATTACAAATCTTACATCTGTACTGTTTTTCTTTTGCATGATTATTTCGGTGAACAGTTAAATTACTTTTTCTTTTGAAATCCGAATTGCAAATATTACATTTAAAAGGACCTTTATCTGAGTGAGTTGTCAAATGAGAATCTAATTGTGCTTTTATAGGAAATGTTTTGTAACAGATATTGCACGTGTATTGATTTGCATTAGCATGAATATTTCGATGTTCAGTTAGGTCAGACTTTAGCTTGCATTTAAAATCGCAAAAATCACATGCATAAAAGAGAGTGTCTGAATGCGTTTTCAAATGGTCCTCTAAATTAGAATACAACAAAGTTTTACTACAAATCTGACAAGTGTACTGTTCATTTTTCGTATGTTTCTTTTGATGAATCTGCAGGTACCTTTTTTGCTTACACATTAAACCGCAAATATTGCATTGGAAAGGCCCACCTTCTGCATGACACTCATTTAAATGACTATTTAAATTTGACTTATTTATAAAACATCTCGAGCAAATATTACAGGAGTGTTGATTTATTTGAGCAGCATTCACAGCTGGTTCATATGTAGTTTCACTGCTTCTTCGATCACTACTGGCTTCCTCTTCCATTTTTACCAGCGCAGGTAAGTCTTGCTCTTCAATCGTAATTTCTTCCTTTACTTGAATATAAAAGTCCGCCTTCATACCAACTGAATATCTAAAAATCAAATTACATAATTAGCGAAAAATATTCTTCAGAAGACTTCATTCTGAACTTATCAGCGCATCTTTAGCTAATTGAATAATAATAAAACACCAGCTTATATTTCACAATAGTTTATTCATTCAAAACATCGAAAATATTCACATAGTGAATCACATACTTTATTGAACTATAGATATTATAATATAATTAAATCTAAATGCCCGATAAGAAAATAAACGTCTTAAGATCGAGAAAGAATTAGAAACTACAATGCAACCAGCACAGAATGTAGACGATGACAAAACATGGAATGCTTTAAAAATTAAAATACCAAAGATGCAAGACGAAAACATTAGAAAACGCAAATTGAACCATTTCAGGCAAGAGACGAGAGCAAAAGAAATGACAGGTGGACACAAAAAGCGACAAGAAACAATTTTAAGAAAAAATAATAACGAAATAAAGCCAGGGACAGGAAACAAACTTGCGAGATGGAAATAATTCCTCCAAACACTTTTCGACGACAATAGACCTTGTGATCGACCACCCCCAGACAATGAGATCAATGAAAAAGGACAAGAAATAACCAAAGAATAAGTTACTCATGCAATAAAGACACAAAAAAATGGAAAATCTGGCGGTCCTGACGAAATCATCGTCAAAATGCTTAAATTAATCGCTGAAAACGAAAGCTAATGCCTAGACGTAATACGCTACTATTCAATACGATATACCGTGTGAGTGTCTATGTTGTTTAGATTATTATGTTTCTTAGATTAAGCTGAAAAAATGTAGCGTTTTCAGTTGCGGTACAGATGTAGAACATTATGA